TAACAACGATCGCTGTGAGCTGCTGGATTTCTTTGAGTCGCTTCTCTCCGGTTCCATCCCAGCATGGGTCAGGTCACACATACAGACCTCTGACACAGCTGCAAAAGTCTTGTCCTTCTGTTGCAAATATTTCTTTAAATGATTTACCTTAAAACACAGTTCAACTGAAGCTTAGTACTGAATCTGTATGTGCACAAAAGAGTTCAGACATTAAAAATAAAACTAAGGCAGAACAACAAGGAGCTCAGAAGTGAGCACAACTCGTTTCAAATTAGGAACAGGCTGAGAACAAGCCTAATCCTGCAGACTCCTGCTCCAGCTCTCCTTATGGGGCGGATGGTTGGTTGTTCACAGCAGCACCTTTACTGGAACCTCCAGATGTGCCAGCCCTAACTGGCACTGAAAGTGGCTCTCGGGACTGCAGCTGCTAAATGCCATCCAGTGTAATTCATCAGTGCCTTTTCCTTTTCACACACATTATTTCCGATCCTTCCCCATAGCGGTTGCAGGGTAAACCAATTATGTGTGCGTTGCCGCTCATAAAGAACAGCTGGATCCCTGCTTGTGTACTTCAGAGTTACTGGAAGAAAAAAATGGGAAAAGAAAACAAGGATGTGAGTGTTTGTCATGAATTGCTTCTGCTCATAATTGAAGACTGGGGCTGAGTTCATGGAAATTGAGTGATTGTGTGTGTGTGTGTGTGTGTGGGGGGGGGGGGGGGGGGGGGGGGAGTACAAAACATGACCAAGCAATTTCAGCTCTGGCTTTCAGGGCAAAAGGAAATGAACTACAGCAGTTGCTAAGGAACCGTCCTGTTGAACAGAAACCTGGTCAGCTGTCAGAGAAAAGACTGAAGACTCTCAATTATTGCTATTATTGCAGCTTTCCTATTGCTGTCTAATTTAACATAATATTGTCATTACATACCTTCTGTGATCTCCTGCTTTAATCCAAAGTGTTTGAAGATCTGCTTTGAGGTACAGACTTTCAACCAAAACAGCCTGTGGATGAGGTGGACTGGGGAGGGGGTCATCAACATGAGTTGATGTAAGCTGCCTCCAAACATCAAAGATGTGCCAAGAGTGAGGTCATGTCAGAGCCATCACAGTCTCGGGACATGTTCAAAACTCTTTGATGTGGAAAATTTGAGAAAAACACCTTTTTAAAGGGTTACCATATCTGAGCAACATGGAGGAATCTCCTCCCTGCAAGTCTGGAATGGACAAATCCAGTGGATTTCAGATTTAGGTCCAAGCTTGCACAAGTAACTGCTATAACCACATTTAAACCCACATATCAATATTTTTAAACATCTCATTGAGTTACAAATACACTAAAAGTGTCCTGTGGGATTTTCCGTGCTGATACAGGCGCTTATGGACTTTTTTACCCAGAGTACGACTTACAAGGCATTCATTCTTATAGTGACCACTGCCAGTGTATTAATGTATGAATTAAACGAGTGTTCAAAACCTTTGAAAATCACATCAACATATTAGACCTTTTTGAATTTTCCTCATATATTTTAATAAAGTTCAGTAAAGTCCAGTGTATGTTTTTGAAGTCACTACCATCAAGTGGAGCTAATATCACTGATATTGTGCACATGAAACACATGAACACATGAAAAGTAATTTAGCATAAGCAGATAAATTCTTTTTTTTTTTGAGAAATATGACATGAAGTTAATAATAAAACAATGCTTTTTTGAAAACTGATAAAAACTAAGTTATGTTTTTGCTAATGAACTCTATCAATCAAAGCTTTATTTATAAAGCGCCTTCCGCAACCCTGTCAGGAAGCCCAAAGCGCTGAACATGGTTCAGTTGAAGGTAAATATATTGAATAAATCAAAAATAAAAGCAATTCAAATTACAAAATACAAATTACAAAATAGGTGAAACATTCTGGTACAGGACAGATGTGTAAAACAATGGATTTAGTGAACCAATGAAAACTGTGAAATAAATTCAACATAAAAGAGGGCCAAAATCAAACATGTTCTGGAAACGCCAAGCGGAGGAGGTGTGTTTTTAGGCGACTCTTAAAGACTGGCAGAGATGGGGACAGCCTAACTGAGGGTGGCAACTGGTTCCAGAGTGACGGTGCTAGGACTGAGAAAGCCCGGTCCCCGCGAGTGCGACACCTAGAACGAAGGACAGCGAGCAGGCCTTGGTCAGAGGAGCGCAGAGTGCGTGATGGGGAATGTCTGTTCAGGAGTGTGGCCAGATAGGGGGAGCACTACCCTGGAAGAAATGATAAACAAAGACGAGGAGTCTGAATTGTGAACGATGGCAAACCGGAAGCCAGTGCAGGGAGGCCAGAACCGGACTGATGTGGTCCCGTTTCCTGGTCCCAGTCAGGAACCTGGCTGCGCTGTTCTGCACAACCTGTAGGCGACGCAGTGATGACTGACACAACCCTGCATAGAGAGAGTTGCAGTAGTCAAGCCTAGAAATTACAAAGGCATGCAGTACCCTCTCCAGGTGGGCTCTCGACAGCATGGGCTTGATTTTTGCAAGGCGTCTCAGGTGAAAGAAACTGGACTGGATCACAGAATTGATGTGAGCATCAAATTTAAGTCCAGCATCATATTTCACCCCCAAACTGGTAAACTCTATGTGAACCTTGAACTACAGGCTATTAAAAATTTCTACACGACCCATGATTAGACATAAATTACGGTCACTTTAGTTCATTTTTCTTTTTAAAGAGCAAGCCACTCCCAAATCGCCTTTTTTGCTGATAAACTTTATAAACGAGTGTCTAATTGTGCTGAAGACATGTTTAGTCAATAATTTGGCACTTAAGTGCATCTTAGTTCAAATTTAAATATTCTGTCTAAAACAGTCAGTGTTGTGCCGTCTTTGAATTTACATCTGCCCTGACTATTGACTTACCCTGGTTTCACACTGAAAGCATCAGCGGGGTGGAATGGCAGCAGAACATCACAACTTCATATAGAATCAAATTATAGTCTATGGACTGTTTCAAATCAGCAGCGACAGCAATTTCCAGGCACGTCCCAGAAGCAGCACGCCGCGCCGCGCCGCTAAAGATAGAATCGGGTTCTATTTTTGCCACGTGCCGCTTATGGGATACGTCAATTTCTGCTGTTAACATAAGGCTAGACATGAAATCACACACGGTTTCATTGTAAAATCACTGGTGAATTTCAAAATAAAAGTGCTGCAGCAATGTCATTTCATACATATGAAGCTTACGTGTGACCCAACGGTTTATTTACTCCCTGCATTGTTCCAGAAGTGCAGTGGTGTGTTTTTCATGGCTTTAATCCTGGCAGTGGAGAGGAACAACATCATATATGACATTAAACAGCGATATCAAACGTGATTTACTTCTTTTTGGTTTAATGGCGGATTGCAAAAACAAACCATGACCTGAAGTCTCGAGGGATCTTGTGATCTTGCGAGTCTGGCGAACAGCACAGCGAGGAAGCTTTGCCTCTGTCAAGGCTCTCCCGGTGTGAAAAGGGCCGCTTAGAAGTTTGCCAGATAAGAGGTACACAATGACGTTAGCTTGTTCCATATGATGTCACAGTGTCGTTGTGATCCTGTGTGTGTGTGTGTGTGTGTGTGTGTGTGTGTGTGTGTGTGTGTGTGTGTGTGTGTGTGTGTGTGTGTGTGTGTGTGTGTGTGTGTGTGTGTGTGTGTGTGTGTGTGTGTGTTTATTAATGGCTCCGCCCTCTCGGTCTGCCAGACAACAGCATTTGTTACATTTTTTTTAAATAGGAAGTGGGAGTGGAGTAACACTCTAGTAAGTGGTGACTTGCCCTTTAAACTGCACCCTAGAGACACTCTGCAACCTCTCCATGCTCTACTTGTCAGCAGCATGTTTCCACAACAATCCTGCCAGAAAAGCCACATTTGCCATCCTGGCATGGCCATATTGGACCAAGTCAAGGTGTAGCTATTTATTAGAAAATCACATTGTGCTATGCTGATGGTCTGTAGGGATTCTGACATAGGTCTGAACTCCAGCATCCAAACCTGAATCACCATCACAGTCCTCTAAACTAGATATACACAAGCTTTTACTGAACACTAACTTTAAATTTTAACATTCAGTTATGGAGTTTATTCCGGCTGCTCCTGCTGGCTGCATGCTCTACTTTTTTAAATGCTAACTGCAGAAATTATTAGAAATCCTGCTCCAGTGACAAAAAAAGGAAAATCACAAGCAAAGGCGAGAAAGTCAACCTTTTCCAGCTGGAAAGTGAGTGGCAGAGGTGCGGAGGGATGATTGATGGCATACTTCACAATGCACATTTCTAAATTTCAAGGGCCCTTTATGTAGCTTGTTGAAAGAGCCGACCTGAATCTCACTCTTACTGTCACTTACCTGTGTGCACGGAGACAAGTGCAGCTATGAATGGGAAGATTTCATACAGATTCACCTATAAAATTCAGCCTCATGCTGGCTCTTATAACATTTGTGGAGTTATTAAAAATCTCATACGGTGCTTTTGTATCCAGTGTAGAGAAGGAGATCAGATCTGCACACATTCCTGCACGTTTTACATGCACTCTTTCATCCGAGGTTCTCTCTTATCACAGAAGAGCTCAATAAAGCCACATGAGCTTTTGGAAAGCACAGCCTTGAGTTGTGTGCTTTTCCTGCAGAACCAAAATCAGTACTAAGCACCCACAGCCCCCATGTTCCCCTAGCAAAGGAAGCACTTTTTTGGTTTAGTTTGCCTCGTAAAACGTGTCTAATCATATCTTCCTCCTCTCAAGTTTATCATGTCGTGAATGACTGAGAAGCTACACCAACGTCCTTACATGTGGGGAGCAGAGTTTGTGCTGTTTGCATGCTGATGGAGCTTTGGAGAAGCTCCTGAGCCCTGCCAGTCAATTCATTTTGTGATTAGCAGTAATTATCACTGATCACATCAGACTAAGGAAGAACCTTGAGGGGGACCTCAGTCATCTTCCTCCTTGAACTACTTGTCACTCTCGATTCCTCTCTCTCACTCACAGGTATCCATTCCCCACAGTGTTCAGCAGCTGCAGCAAGAAGGACCTGATGGCTAGTTTTGAGAAAGGCGTTGGGATGTGTCTGTTTAACATGCCGGAGCTTAAGGTGCTCTATGGTGGGCAGAAATGTGGCAACGGCTACGTGGAGGAGGGAGAGGAGTGTGACTGTGGAGAACTAGAGGTGAGGCGGATCTAAAAAAATGCACACAAAAAAGAGTTTGGTTGTTTATTTCATGTTTGCAGCTCTTCATTTCACTCGAACATGATTTAGGTGTAATGGCTTTAGTTGCAAATAAATGTAACTTCAGAAAATATGTATTTAAAGTAAAACTAAACAGTATCCGCATCTCTCTCCTACTGGTTGAAAGCAGAATTACAACTGTCGTAAACAACATCAGCCTGCTGTAGCTAACGCTAAAGACAAGCTAACATTAACATGAAGACAGTCTTATTAAATGAGCCAGGAATGAAAAAGATCCACACTGTTGGACATAAAATATTATTACTTACAAGCCCAGCTGCAACAAAGCCAGGTCATCATCAGTCTATGATTTTGTAGCCTCCTTTAGCTCCCTCAAACTAGGTCAGCAAACTGAGAAAGCTAACTGCTAGCCTTTACATTAGCTACAAGCACAGAAAATAGCAAACAGCCATTAAGCAGATAAAGAGTGCCGCCTAGAACACTTCTCTGCTCACGGGCTGCAGGGCTCGTGTGAAGTTGGCTAAGTTTCTACACAATCACTGAATGCCACTTTTAACCCTCCCACTGTCTTCATGGGTGATCCCACGAGGAAAGTTGACCATTGAGCAGGATTGATGGTTTATCCCTTGAGGTCCACGTGGCAGGGGTGAGGTGGTACTCACTCCTCACCCTTGGCACATGGACCCAAGGGATAAACCATCAACCTTGCTCACTGGTCAACTTTCCTTTTGGGGTCACACCCATTAGGACAGTGGGAGGGTTAAAGAAATGTATTCAAGTGTTCAAATCTGCTTAGTGAAACTTTAAATCAGTTCTAAAAATGATCATCATTATTAATTATTTTTGTGAAAAAGTCACATTTTTGAGCTTCTTTCTGTGTTTTTTATTTATTTCTATTTACCTTTTTTTATCCTGCTAAGGGGCTCAAGGTTGTCTTGTCCATTCTCAACTGCATGCAAAAAAGATATGAACCCAGACGTAAACAGACCTTTTTGTTTTTGTTGTGTATGTTTGAATGGTTTTAAAAGGAGTTTGACTGAAGCCGGTGTTGCTGTGTCACCACCTGGTTCAAACATTACAAAATGGCAAAGAAATCTATTTTAGGATCTTGTTTGGGAGAAACAGCCAAATGGAGCAGGAAATAGACCCTCAGATAAGGGCCTCATCTTCATAATTATGGGTGTTGCTCTGATCTGTTGCAATCATAGAGCTGTATTTTTATTTTATTTAACCTTTATTGAACCAGATGAGTCGATTGAGAACTCAATCTCGTTTACAACGATGATCTGGCCAAGCGGCAGCAGCAACAGACACGTACTGTAGTTAGCTTTACACCAAATAGAAAAGTAAAACATAGAAGATAAATATAAGATAAGCTCAAATGAAATACAACGCTCTTGGTTTGCTGATCTGTCTACATCTAACCCTCACCTGTGCTCCTGACATTTGGATCATATCCCAGATTAAATTAGCTTCTTTCATAGGACTCAGCTTTAGAGATAAGGTGAGGAACTCAGAGTAGATCCGCTGCTCCGACACATCAAAAGGACTTAGCTGAGGTGGTTTGGGGATCTAGTTTGGATGATTCCTAGTCTCCCTTTGATGGTTTTCCAGACATGTCCCACTGGGTTGAGACTCCAAGGCAGAACCAGAGCCCATGGGATTGATTATTGATCTTCTCTGGCCTGGGGATATTTTAGTAGGACCTGGAGGGTGTTGCTAAGCACAGAGATGCGTGGGCTTAGACGTTACTTTCACAATCCAACTTGATTTAAAAAATGCTCATGAAATACGTATGTGGAGTAACCAGGTAGGTAGGTTTTAACTGTTGCAAATCTGCAACGCCTGCCTCCAGAGGGTTAAAGAGTGGAACTGTGTTCAGCCTGAGCCCTGAAGAAGCGTTTAGGAGTTGTCTTCTCTGACTTTGATTGAAGTCTCAGAGCGATACACAGCTGACAGTTTCATTCTGTTAGCTGGTGAATTATTGAAGCAAATCTTGAACGACATGCACATATGTGATGTTAGGACATGTCGCTAGCTCTACCGAGTTCAGGATGCAAATCTGTGTGGCAGCCAACAATTAGCAGAGGCATGGAGCAGACATCCACTCTGATTTGGAAGCTCTGAATTATGTAATGGCCCAAATGAGAGAGTGCCTTTTTGTCTTTGGTGATTTGTTTATGTCTTTATGTTTGTGGTCGGTTTGGCCTTCATTTGGGGCAGAGCTGAACAAAGAGCCACCACAACGTCCGAGCCAGCAGCAATAATTGAGCTCACAGAGCTGATCAGCATTTCGCCAAACCAGGACAGATCAGACTGACAGACAGCACCTTTCTCCACCATTAAAAGCCCTGATTTAAAAACCTGTACCCTGTTTCTCACAACTTACTGCACTCCTCTGCCTCTGTTGGCCCCCAGGGGACCATGGGAAAGGCCCCGTTTTACGGTCTGTTGTGTACCAGTGGTTCTGGTAGGTCCATCATGTCAGCCGTGTCCCCTGCCAGCTCAGTCCGTATACTTCCTCCTGTGCTCAGCGACGCTCACACTGTAACAGAGAGAGAGAAAGAGACAATCCTCTGGGGTCCTGTCAACTTACCTCTGTGTGAGGTCATCCAATTAAGCTCAAAGTTATTCATATTCATGTCAAATTTTGATTTACAGTGAATTTTTATTGACCAATAACTTTCCTGTGAGTGAAAACGACATAAACAGATGGCAGACGAGGTTAATAGGCTGCATTAGAGACACGTGTGGGCCTGTTTTTACATATTTACTTAATGTTCTTTCTCTATAATTAGAAGCAAAGTCTGTTTGACCTCACAATAGTTTGTGGTCTCATAATTAGCAGCAAGCTTATTGGCTGTCTGCCTCTGCTGGAATACTGGTGTGTTCCTCTTTGATGACATTCTGCAAAGGAGCCCTTATCTAACTCTGGACTGGATTGGATGCTGGTCTAGAGTCCGACCAGGTCACTCTAAGTTGCACTTTGGATGATAGTTTGTCTTTTGGTGAAGGGTGATCCTTGAGCAACTATTTTGTCTAGTGTGTCTTTTCTGCTACAAAAAGCATCCACCACCTAAAACCTCTACGGATTAACTGCATTTACACAAACATTGACTCATCACTTGTGAGATTTGGGTACTCTGTCCTCTCTCTGCATCAGAAGGCAGAGACATGCTCATTGGTTCATTTCATGGGTCATGATAATAGAAAACACGGAGCATTCGTTATGGGTCATCTACTTGCACTACAGAAAGACATGTTGATTTGAGTTATTTGATCCCAAATAAAAGAGTCAAAATAAAAAGAAAATCAGTTGTCAGAGTAAAGGAAGCTATCTATGTCAAAAGGAAAGACCTACATTACTCAGGTGGTGGCCTCGGGTTTCACCTTTCCAGCACCTATAATACAGCTCTAACCCTAATTCCAAAATGGTTTCAGTCTAGGTCACACCCTCCTGCATCTAATCAAAACAACCACTCTAACACAATAGAACCTAACAACATCGACGGTTCCTCAAATAGGGGTATTCATAGGTAGTTTCAGCTCATTAAGCAGCATCAGACAGCTACAGCTTATAAGTTTGACTCTCCCATGTTCCAGTCAAAACTGACAAAGCTCCTTCTATGAAAAGCGAAACATGTTCAAGAAACCAAAGAAGTCCAGTTGCCTTCATTCCAATCATTTTGGATTACCATGACCTGAATGGCTGAGAACCTTCACCAGCACATCAGTCACCTTTCCCATGATTTCCATTTAAAACATTCCTGGATGAGTTTAATGTTAGGATGGTGCTGACTGTGGTAATTACACCTCCTATTCAGAGAATTAATGAGATTGGGTCAATTAGTGTAGCAGCTGCAGAAAATGAATCCTGCATTAAAGGGCTTTATGAAGCATTAAGAGCTGTGATGGCAAATGCTTCCTAGATGTGTGATCAAATCCAGTGTTGTTGCGTGACTTTTATATTTAGTGTTGGGAAATAAAACAGTCAACATTTTATCAAGATTGGGTATGTGCGTGCATGCGTGCGTGTGTGTGTGTGTGTGTGTGTGTGTGTGTGTGTGTGTGTGTGTGTGTGTGTGTGTGTGTGTGTGTGTGTGTGCATTTACAGCAGAATAGCAGCCAAACAACAAGAACTTTTCTGCAACAATTAAAACCTACAGTGAGAATGTTTTATTCCGGAACACACCACGGGTGTATCAAATACAGCATATAATACACTTTAGTCAGCTGCAGAACATTTTCTGTAAACATGCAATAATTTTACTCTGACCAGATGAACATGTGTCACATTACCCATCTGCATTTAAACTCTGAAGCTGCACATCATGTATTGTTAACTCACTATATTATATTGGACTATTAGGTAGAGAAAGAAATCATGGGAGGGAATAAACCTAATTAAGTTTAAAAATGCTGAGTTGTCAGAGCAGTGTTCAAACAGGTGCTGTTTTAGAAACAGGAATGTTAATATAAACTATATCATCATTACGGGCTGCACAGTGGCGCAGTGGTTAGAGCCGTTGCCTTGAAGCAAGTAGGTCCTGGGTTCGCTTCCCGGCCTGGGATCTTTCTGCATGGAGTTTGCATGTGTACCCTGCCTGATTGCCCACTGACCACTGGAGATCGGCACAAGCCCCCCCACCCACCCACCCCCACCCCCCGCGGTCCTACATGGACAAGCGGGTTCAGACAATGGATGGATTGATAGATATCATCATTTCTCTCAAAAATATTCAGTGAAAAACTAATGGTGATACTTTACAATAAGTGTCTCATATTGTTGCTTAGTGCATTATCAAGCATTAATAAACTATTAAATCCAAGTATTAACAACTGCTCCCTGGCTTTTTGTACTAACCTTGAGGACACTTAACAGCTAACAATAACGGTAATGTTAATAAAGGGACCCTTTGTTTATTAACTCTTAATAATGCACTAAGTAGCATTAATAAAGGGACCCTTTGTTTATTAATGCTTAATGATGCTCTAAGTAACATTAATAAAGGGACCCTTTGTTTATTAACTCTTAATAATGCACTAAGTAACATTAATAAAGGGACCCTTTGTTTATTAATGCTTAATGATGCTCTAAGTAACATTAATAAAGGGACCCTTTGTTTATTAACTCTTAATAATGCACTAAGTAACATTAATAAAGGGGCCCTTATTGTAAAGTGTCACCAAAAAAATTAGATAATTTTCCGCATCCTGTTGTCTCACCTAGTTAAAGTTTATACGGTGTTTTAATGTTCATTTCTTGTCGTTTGGCTCATTTTTATGGAGGATTTTTATTTATTTATTTATTTATTTTTTGCAATTTTCCAGCATTTAAGTTCCACAATGATCCAGAAAAATATTTCTTATCTTAAAGAACCAAAATAATAAGATTTTTCTTTTAATTTTTCATTGCCACTGAACACTATCCTAACAGCTCTGCTTCCTCACTGATGAAACAGTCTGAGCTTTTGGTGGTGTGGAATGTGATCTCTTTGTGCATAATGCTATTTTTGTTCATTAATCCTTTAGTTTATTTATTTATTCATTTATTTATTTATTTATTTATTTATTTATTTATTTTAGACTTTTTAAAAATTCCTTTTGTACGTACAGGAGTGCTTGAACCCTTGCTGCAACGCTACAACCTGCACTCTGAAAGGAGATGCTGTCTGTGCCCATGGACACTGCTGCCAGGACTGCCAGGTAACATGTGTACCGATCCACTTCACTTTTGATCTTTGACTTTCTGAACTTCGTATGCTATTTATATTTATGTGTAGCTGAAACCGGCAGGAACGCCCTGCCGGGAGTCCAGTAACTCCTGTGACCTGCCTGAGTTCTGCACTGGTACCACGCCCCACTGCCCCTCCAACGTCTACCTCCATGATGGTCACGCCTGCCACAGCGTGGACGGCTACTGCTACAATGGCATATGCCAGACCCATGAGCAGCAGTGCATAACTCTGTGGGGTAAAGGTCTGTGGAAAACCTTCCTCTCTGCTCCACTGGGTTAAAAATGGTTGCCAGCTTTTGAGTATATATATATTTTTTATCTTCTAGGAGCCAAACCAGCTCCAGGGATCTGCTTTGAAAGGGTCAACTCAGCAGGAGACCCATATGGCAACTGTGGCAAGGATTCAAAGGGCTCCTTTGCCAAATGTGAAGCGCGGTAAGATCTGATGATCCAAGAGAAGTCAAAGCTTTGCTGCAGAGCAATGTGATGTTTTAAATGTGACTGACTGTTAGAGAAACAGCTGTCACATTTAAGAATGGAAGTGTCTCTTATTTGTGGCTCTAACTGAGGAACACTCAGCCATTTACTCAAAGGTCAGGGAAATTGCTCTGATCCTGAAACCGAATAGTTTACTTGGGCAGCAGAAAACAGTGATGTTGAACTTTTTCGTCTCTTTTTGTTCTGCGCACACAGCGATGCTAAATGTGGCAAAATCCAGTGTCAAGGAGGAGCAAACCGCCCCGTAATTGGCACCAACGCCGTTTCCATAGAAACAAATATACCCCTGCAGGAAGGTGGAAGGATACTGTGCCGAGGCACACACGTCTACTTGGGTGACGACATGCCCGACCCAGGCTTGGTCTTGACGGGGACAAAGTGCGGAGACGGAATGGTGAGAGCAAAATCAGCACCGGTTAGCTGGGAATAGGACAGGAATCCATGTGGAAGGCCATGACTAAGATTCCCATTGTCATTTATCCGTTCACAGCCCCAGACACTTTATAGACTCGCCATTACTCAGTCTATCTGGCATCTCCCAGTGGTCATCAGTTTTAGCCAGAGGTCACTTTACTGATTCAGTTACTCCAATTACTCTAATTTACCTCCACCCATGAGACCCAGCCTCTTCCTTCCTCTTCCATTACCCTCAGTGCCAACGGCTGCTCCTCCTCACATTTAGCCTGGAGTGGTGCCTTCAAGGAGCCATTCAATAACTTTTAAAGGATCATCTTTGATGTATTTCTAAAAACTCCCATCCAAGTGGAAAATGAGGAGAAATGGCAGGCTGGACGTGGCTGTTGTTCTTCCCTTAAAAAGATTAAAACATTGAGAATCGGCTGGCTCTTGGAGCTCGCTCTGTCACTTTTTAATGTCTTTGTCTGCTTCAGATGTGTCTGAATCGTCAGTGCCAGAATGTCAGCATTTTCAACGTGCACGAGTGCGCTGCCAAGTGCAGCGGTCGAGGGGTAAGTGCAGCCACCTTTTCCTCCCGGTTCGCTGTCGTGGAGATGTAACATCTATTTTAAACAAACCTCACCCCAGTTAATGTCCCGTTCCTTCCTGGTGGAAGCAGCTTTCAGCTGCGGTGCCTTCAGAATCCAGCCCAGTGTTCCTTGGTTAGAGAATAAATGTGACGCCTTGCAACACATCACTGCAAATATTGAAAGGTTCAGTCAATTAGATATAATGATCTCGCTTATGTTCAACTTTAGGCGTCATTCATCATACGCTCAGGCTTGCCGATCTGATCCTTAAAGCTGAATTAAAACCTATCAGCCATATTGTGTTTGGAGAAAAGCAGTGAAGTGGTTTGATTTCAGGTCGGGGAGCAGGAGTCTAGATCTTTTAGAAGCTGGTGGTTCTGTTGGAGTGGAGTTACGCAGGACCCCGAGGTTTCAGCTGAAGTTGTGACCACCATGAAAATGAAACATCGCCAGTTATTACTGGAGTGCAGTTAGTGTAGTTCCAGTTCAGACCAGTTCAGACGTTCCATAAAACACAGAGGAATGTTTAACCCGCTGAAACAAAAGGATGCGGGTCCTGCAGGAGAGAGGGCACCCCTGCATGCGGAGATTAGATCAAGATGTTGCTCTGAAGACAAATCCTCACCTGTTCTAAATTACCCAGGCAGGTAGTCTTCCCAGACGTTAGTGCTCCTGCACCGTGCATGACAGGAAGCCCGAGGTGAGGCCATAAAAATGTGGTGTGAAGGAAAAGGTCTTCTTTGTTGTTTTCAAATCAGAGCTCCGGGTACAGCTCCTTTCAGGGCTTCACAAAGTAAATCATAAGAACTAATTCTCTCTATCTCTGTTTACTTAAAACGAACAATCAAATTTTTTCTGATTTTGGTCAAATTTCTCAAGTGAAAAGTTTAACACATGCCAGCATATATTTAACATAACATTTGCTAAAAGTGACAACTTGGACTTTTTCACTGACTTGTATCATATTATGTTTTATAGAATAGTTTAACAGGACAGACTTTTCAAAGCAGCTCATTTTACATTAATAAATTGTATTCTACATTAAATATGGAATTATAAATGATCAGCTGAAGTTACTCAAACCATCGTCCAGCGTTAAGAGCCCATTGTTCTTCTGCTGTAGGTGTGCAACAACAACAAGAACTGTCACTGTGAGGCCCACTGGGCGCCTCCTTTCTGTGACAAGGTGGGTTTTGGAGGAAGCGTGGACAGTGGGCCCATCAGGGTTGCAGGTAAGTTACCAGTGGACCATAAAACAAGCATTTCATTTTCATATCAATCTCTTTCGTGACAGAGTTTTAAACTGAGATTATTTTATGTTGAAAAATGTGTTTTGGGAAATCTCATAAAATATCACGTGATCGTCTGTAGAGCTGCAGCTGTCGAATCCTCCATCGATGAAGCGAATACTCTATTTGACGACAAGTTAAAAACATGAAAATAAAACAACAAAATTATAAAAGGATCAACAAAATGTAATAAATTGGTGTTGTGTAGTTCTCACTTTCCCAGACAATATTTAATAGTTAATTCATAATTTATGTAACAAAATTTCACTCATATTGCATTAAATCTTTAGATGTGTATTAATATCACTCCTCCTGGTCTAAACCTATCTAAATAGATTCTCATTTGATCAGCAGAATTAAATTATTTCATTAACATAACCAGTAGTATGCTACTGCAAATGCTAATAGCATTTCATTTCTACTAGTAACAACGTAGAAATTATGTACAGGTTAGCAACATAATCCAGTCAAAGATGTTTAAAAAATATAGAAGCGTTTGTGAATTACATGCTACAACAGCTCGCCATGGACCTGCAGCGTGCCAATGCCAGGAGCAGAATCAAGTCGCTGATTCTTGGTGGGCAACAGCAGCCAGACGCCAGGTAGCTGTGTTGGTCCTGCTCCATTCAGTAGCATGGGGGGGGGCAGCTACATACAGCCACAACAACTTGACTTCAGTCCAGGTTAATTGAATTTCTTTTAATTATTTAAAATTATTATTAGAGCACCTTCAACATATAAAAAAACTATATATAAAACATAAAATATGCACACAAAGTAAAAATATCAACTAGACTAAACACCCTCATTAACCTCATTAAGACCCAATAAAAACGTATCAACAAGAGGATAGAATGGAAGTGCAGTTTTAGTTCAGATGTAAACTCGTCAAGGAGGTGGATTTTCTGTTTACATGGTTACATGGCATGTTGGTGTGGGTCACTCTAGCACCTGGTTGTTCAGTTCTGGTCCTGGAGGGCAGCTGGTGCTGCATGTTTTTGTTACTTTCATGCTCCAACACACCTGATTCACTGATTGAATCTTCATGTTCTGTTTCATCATACTTGACTCAACCCAGATTTTTTTTTTTTTTTTGGTGGAGAACACAGAAAAGGTGAACATGTGGCATTTACACACTAGCATCGGCTCCACTCCGCCTGGACCGGGTTGGCAGCGTTCTCATTTGGGTAGCCTTGGAATTTCTCACTCGCAACCGATGTATTTTCAGCCCTCTTCCCAAGGCGGTCTGCCTGGAGCCAAAAGGACCCACATGCCCACTGCTGACTGATTGGCCGGCTCTAAATCGCACGTACCATTAGGGGGAGCCACCTAATGGCAGATAGAATCAGCCCATGGGGGCTTCCTGCATGCTCGATTCATTATCACTCTGGATGCTGTGGAGTTAACGAGCCTCTGACTGAAGTCGTATTTCTCTGTCTCTCACTGCTGTGAGGAAGCAGACACACACACACACACACACACACACACAGTGCTGCTAGACACAGCAAAGCAGAATGCAAAATCAGACTCAGAGAGTCGCAGAAGGCAAGATTCCTCGGGTCGCTTTTGTTTAATAATGGAGACACCGTGGACTTCTCCGCACACTTTTGCCCTGCCCATGTGCTCGTAGATCCGCTTATGACATCACAAGGCCACAGACTGGCCATGTTCTCAATCACGTCCTCATTTCTAAGGCAGTGTGGAACGAACACTGCCAGGTTGGGGTGGGCGGAGTGGAGTGGAGCCGATGCTAGTTTGTTCGTGGCAACAGTGGCTCTCTAGAACCAGGACTGATTAGCCCTGCTACATCACGTCCAAGATACTAACAGGTGTCAGTCATGCACCTGTCCCTGGAACACACCTAGCACCTTCCCACATGTTTAGTTGTGTTGCTAATCACAAACACAAATCTCCTCATGTTTCTATTGATTATACAAAACTGACCAAGTTATAGATGTATTGTGTTTGATACGTTTGATTGGTTGAGGTGGAAATCTTGAATTAAAGTCCATCTTGTTTGTGAGATATTTTGCTTACAAGCACAAACATCATCACTCACCTTTCAGTGGCTGGAAACACCACTAGAGTCACTGAGTCTGTATTGGGTTAAATTGTTCCGACCAAAACGGTCACAAGTGTTAGAAGAGAAAAATCTTCTGAAAATGAATATTTTGTTGTGAGCAGACAGCAGGAATCTGACGGTGGGTGTCCTGGTGGCTCTTCTCACTTTACTGGGAGCTGCTCTGATCATCTGCGTCAAGAGGAAGACTCTAATGGGCCTGCTGTTCACCAGCAAGAAGAACCCAATAGAAAAGCTCAGGTAAGAACTAGTCCAATTGTTACATTAGAAAACAAGTAAACGTTTTTGTAAAGAATTATTCACATAATAAAAAACACAAATCTTTTCACGATAAAATTATCAAAATTAGAGAGACAGCATAGAAGTGGAATAAAACAAATACATAAAGTCGTGAAAAGGCTTTTCTAAATAAATGCATCTTCACCTGATTCTTAAAGCAAAACTGAAGAGTTTTCTGTTTCTCTCCACTGGTTGAAAGTGGAATTACAACTGTAAACAATCCTGCCGTAGCTAGCGCTAAGAACGAGCTAACGCTACCATGAGCCAAACGATACTAAATAAACCATGAATTAAAAAGAAAGAAAACAATCTTTTATACGGCGCCTCTCAAGATGAAAATCACACATCATGCTTCACAAGAATAAAAACAACAAATAAGTAAAAATATTTTTAAACATATTTAAAAATATCATAAAAATGAAAAATATAACAAATTGTAAGGAAAGGGAAAGAGAAAATGAATAAGAAAGAGGTAATCAGTGATCCCAGAATCAATAGAACTGGTAGAACGAGCTGAACAAGGAGAGGGTGGTGATGAAGGTCACACAAAAGCCCGCTTGGATTACAAAGATCCACATTATTGGACAACAAATATTATTACTTACAAGTCCAGTAGCAACAAAGCCAGGTCACCATCAGTCTGTCATTTCATAGCCTCCTTCAGCTCCTTCAAAGTGTAGGATGTGCATTCTGGTTTTAGCTCTTTGCTTTGGCTCCAAACACATTACTCTCTTAAGCCTTTTTTACAAAACAGTGCAGTTAATTTGCTGCAATGCCATGGTAGCATGTGGGAGCCTTAGGTTGTTTATAAGTGGTCGGACTGTGGTGGTAATGTGGTGCAATCGTGTCCTTTTTACAAAAGCTTACGCAATGGTGGTACAAAGGATGTATGGGATCTGCACTGCTGCAGACTTCCGTTTATCTTGGACATAACTTGCTTTTTATTGCGATTGAAGCCGCACTGATTGAGTTATTTTTACAAGCCGCTCCTAAATGTGTCTGTCCCCGTGCCGTCTCTGGTGTTCTTTGCTCCAGCTCTAATGGAGAGAAGCTTTAGTTTAACATCTCAGCTGGTTCTGTTTACAAAAGTGAAACTTACAGCCCGTGTTTACTTTCATTTTCAACAAAAGTGCCAGCAGGAGCTCGGCAGTAACTCCCCACGTCATCGTGGCATCACCCTCTGTTGCACCAAGGTGCGATCAGCATTTGTGAGACAGACAATTACCGCAATATTACTACCAAGTGAGGCGGAACGAATGCCGCAAAGCAACGCCATGCCATGCCGGGTTGGAGCGTTTATAAGACACACCGTTGCGGTAATACTACGCCGATTTGCCAGCACGGTGTGTATTGTACAAAGGGCTTTACTTCCAGGCTCTGCCATGATGCTAACAAAACAATTTTCAAAAATAAAACTTCTTTTTCTTCTTGTTTTTGTTGATGGATGGCAAAATGAAAAACTTAACTGCTAGCCTCTATATTCACTCATTCACTGCCAGCCGTTTCCTGATCACTAACGGCCTTCGCTGCCAGCGTTTCTCACCGTTTTTACAGTTTTTTTAAGAGTCACAGAACGTTGCGCGCTAGCATGATGTCGATGCCAAAACAACCAAAGCAAAGAGGAGACTCACCTCTTACATCAGGAAGAAGCCGCGTGTTTCGAGCGTTATCCGTTCTTTCATGATCCGTTGTCGAATTGTGATCGGCAGACGCTTTTCCGGTTCGCGCCTCACTTTTTTTTTACAGGAACGGCCCAAAACAATCTCCAAACACATGGATGTGTTGCTTCCTGATCATGTGATCTGTGACGTATGCGGATGAAGATCGGCTTCAGGGCTGAGATGTTTATTTTCTCAGCGCAGGGGCTCGTTCCGATGCTCAAACAGTAAAAAAAATGCAAATGACGACTTTAGTCGTCAATGGCAGTGAATGAGTTAACTGTGGTAGAATAAACATCTCACAAAACCGTTAAATGCAGTTTCTGCTCAGCAGAGGGCTGCAGAGTGCTGAACAATCTGAAGTTGGTTTATTTTCTACCTCATGGATCACTGAAACCCACTTTGAAAGCAACAGCTTAAAGTGTTAAAACTATTTTGTGTTGCTTCTAAAGCATCAATAGAGTCAAAAAATGTAAATATGGAAGAACATTGACGCTGCTAATATGGAATATTGGCAGTGTCAATGTTTTAAGACACTGGCCCATATCCCGGGGCCAGTGTCTTAAAACATTGGGCAACACTTTATATTATAAGACTTTATATTATATTAATAGTGTGTACTTTATATATTAAGTACACACTATTAATCATTAGTTAATCATCAGTAAAGCATTAGTTAATGGTTGCACTTATTACCACACATTGTCTTTTCTTTTTAAGGCCACAACAAAGTGCATAAAGAATGTCACAGTTATATTTAGTTTTGTAATATGTGATTTGTTCCATTTCCACGGTCTGAAAGTGATGCTTGTTTACCGTTTAAAGACTTAGAGACTTTTGCTTTTTCTTCCTTTTTTGTCCACAGATCAGAAAGTGCTGCAGTCAGTGGACCATCAGCTCCTAAACCTCCTTCTACAGTCAGCACAGTATCTCCATCACGCCCAGCACCGCCTCTGCCACACAGCACCACCATCTTCAAGGTCATCACAGCAGAACACAAATCTACTGACACACACCCCATCATCACATGCAAATACAGAGGATGGTTTTACAATATTCAGCTGAAACTGAAAGAGGATCAGTGACAGATGATCTTTGTTGCAAAGTTCTTTCTGCGAAGCTGCGGCTGCTCACAAGAGTCGTTCTCGGCCGGATTGATGTGTTGTTTTCACACAAATGGCAGCTCGTTCAAATCCAATTAACTCGTTTCTCTGAATGCAGGCTCGCCGAGGAGGCGGTGATAATGGAGTTGAGGAGGGCTCAGGACACTTGAATGCATTTCTTGTCATTAACAGCCTCCTTTTCTAGGAAAAGCTGATTTATCTGCATGTTGCCGGCATGAAAAATGTTGACGGCGCTGCTTAGTTAGTGTCTAAAGTCATTTTGTGGCTAATAATTGCAAGACGGTGACCACGCTTTTCCTGTAATGAACTGTGGGCCTTAACCAGTTCATCACTGCCCTGACATCATTGGTAATAAGAAGTGATCCGACTGGTGTAGGTTTTGCTAGAGGGGGCCTGGCCAGAAGTGCCGCAGAGTGCCGTGGCAGAGAGGCGAGCTCATGCGCACCAGCATGAGGTTGGTTTTCCAGTTAGCAGCATGTGGTTTTCATTTGGTAAGAGGAGAAAAGATGTAAGGGCTGTTTGATGTAAGCACAGTGCAGGTGAGGTCATTTTCCAGTTGGAAGATGAGTGTGTGTGTGAGACTAGCTGCTCACATCTGGTCTAAATATGAAGAAGGCTGATATTTTGGCTCAATCTGTTGTCAAATCTCTCCTAATTGGAGCGTGTGTGGTCCATTTAGCTGTTAGAATTGGGCCAAATGGGCACTCGTGGGATGGTTTTAGGTTTTAATTAGATACCGGTAGAGGATTTCAGGGCAGCGAATGATTAACACGCCTCTGACAAAATCAGGAAGTACAGCAGAAGAGGTAGAGGTGAACATGATTGTTTCTGAGAGGAATCAGATGGTTTGACTTTTGACTGACTCTTTTATTTTTGACTTTCATCTTCTGCAGTCCCCTCATCGGGGGCCAGAAGCAGGGCCCCCACCAGCCCCTTACCCTGTCCACAGCCTCCGCAGACTCCCCCAGTGCCCTCCAGTTCACCTCAGCCATCCGGTCCCCCTGTCTCTCACCCTGTCCCTCTCCCCTGAGCCCAGACAGCCGAGACCCCCAGTTCCTCCGCCTCATCAAGTCCCTCTGCCTCACATCCACATGGCGCCCAGGGGTGCGTCACTCCACAGCACGGCGCACCATAACTCCTGCAGGATGGTGATGGTGAGTGGATTTCCTGTTCCCTCAGTTGGAAGCACTTTATTCAAGGAAGTTACTTACTGTAATTTCACAGCTTTTACACGCCTCCGCAGCCTGAAACACCTAACCAGGCAAAAGATGATGTTCGCTCCACTTTCAGGCTAGTGTTTTGATGTCGATTGTTTTCATCGCACTTTTGCGGCTTATAGAATCTTCGGCTTGGTGGCGGTTTCTCACAGTTGAAGAAAATAACGAGGTTAACCCCGGAGCTCGTAGCAGCCGAGCGTGACGTCAGATCTGCAGCAAAAAACCACCACATAAATAATGAAAAACGGAGCCAGACTTGTTGTGAGGAGTGGGTGGAGGTGGGGGTGGGGTGCATGCACACAGGGTAGCAAACCTGCTGCCACAGTTAGAGCCTAGTTGGCTATGAAGGTTAACGAGGGAAAGCCAGACACACCTGGAGTGCTTATCTTTCTGTCTTTTTCCTGGGTTTGATTTCACACCCCTAATTAAAGTTTTAGAAGTGACTGGAACAGGTGCTGGTTTCAGACTTGTATTTTATTTCTTTTTGATCTAATTTTGATCAAAACCATTTAAACAAAAGAAAATCGGAAAATGGTCTCTTAGTTGCTCAGAGGACATTTTGGTCCTCACCCGTGATCCTAGGTGAGGATAGGAATGAAGACTGACCTGCTAACTAAGGTGCCACCCCCAGTAGTCATGCAACATTGCTGAGCTGTGTCAACTAAAGCCCGGCGTACACCGTGTGACTTTTTGACCGTTTTGAGCCAATTTTCATCTCGTGTGAGAATCTTTGAGGTCAGGGCAAGTTTTGCATCATGTAGTACACACGGGGTAACGAGAGGCGATTAACACCTCCCGACCAGCAACCATGAATTGCAAGCATGTTTGATACTCCTTTGTGAGAGCATGGCAACCGCTCGCACAGAGCGTGCATCAACACGGCTGGCCAGCACACGTTGTTTACTTTTTACTTTTACACTTTTCTCCGCACATAATGACACAAATTGTCAAGAAAGCGTGTTTGCCGTGTTTATGTCAAACTAAACTGATCGAAGGACAACAGACGTCAATAACAACACTACAGCCTCCGGGTTTTCAGACTTGAAGGGCCGACGTGTTGCTACCAGACGTACAATGTGAGCAGTAAAGTCACATCCGAGCATTGGGTCGTACAGTGTGAGAATGTGACTCAGGAAGCCGTACAGTTTGAGACAGAGTTGAATGCTGTGAGTTAAAAAGTCACACAGTGTCTCTATAACGTCTGATCTCAGTACGTCGCTGAACAGTTATTTCATTTTCACTCCATTAAGCATGGCTTGAACTGGCCCTCCTGCACCTGCTGGTAGGTGCATTTCTATTCTGATCTCATAAACAAGCAGCTACTTTTAGGCATCGTAACTTAAACACGGCCCGACAGCTCCCCATCCTCTGGCATCCACCAGCATCTCCGGGGATTAGTTCCACAGTTAGCACTAGCAACCTTGTGGCTGCAGCTAGCAGCAGCTTCCCCAACCATTGCAGCGTGGAACAAAGCTTATTGTCTGTGAAGGTTCTCAGTCATCCAGGTCATTGTAGTCTAAGGAGCTTTGAAAGAAAAGTGTCTGGACTTCTTTGAGTTTCTTGAAGACGTTTCACCTCTCATCCGAGAGGCTTCTTCATTTCTAAGGTCAAATGGTGGAGAGTCCCAGATTCAAACCCAGTGGGAGTTTCCCCCCGAAGAGGGAACAAAAGACCACCTGATGATCTTCTACATAAACACATGAGCCAAGGTGTGAGGGTGGATGTGGGTGCTATTCAGCCAGAGTTTTAGGACCCACACCCACCCTCACACCTTGGCTCCACCATTTGACCTTAGAACTGAAGAAGCCTCTCGGATGAGAGGTGAAACGTCTTCAAGCAACTCAAAGAAGTCCAGACGCTTTTCTTTCAAAGCTCCTTAGACAAGAAAGCTTATTCAGGTTCAGTGTCACCCACTGGTCTCTGGAAGCGGTTAAAGCTCTGCAGAAGGTGAGAGTTGAAGACCATTTTCACAGGTTCTTCAGCCAGGTGTTCCACCAGACTCTCACCATAGGTTTGGACCTGCCAGGTCTACATGGCATCATCTCCTGCCATCTGATCCAACTCAAAATAATTTGGTGTTCAGTTCTGCTCAGTTTTTCACTCTTTCTTATAAAACATAAGGTCACAGGTCAGATGATATGACTACAAAGTCAACCACTGGCCTGCAGTCTAGGATTCTATGGCATCTTGTGTGCCAGTGGTGTAGTATGTCAAAGTGATCATTGAAGTCCCCCAGCAGGAATCTGGAGACCCTGGTTGGAGCACTGTCTAGTACGTGTTTCATCACCTCCAAAATACTCTGAGCAGTGTTTGGGTTCATGAGCACAAACAACAGTCAGGACCCACTCCCAGACCCAAAGGTGCAGGGAAGCTACCATTTCATCCCCTGGAGTGAACATAAGTGAGTCTGGGGGGCCCACCAGCTTTTGCCTCTCACCCGGGGCAACTCCAGGAGTCCCAGCTCCTCTCAAGGACCTGGCTTGTTTTTTATGTGAATGCACAAGACTAAACTAAAGCACTGGAACAGTCTTTATTTAATTTATTTTTTTAATAAACAAAAGTTTATATGTTTTATACCATACCATCCTATACCTGCTTTATTTACGAACCACTTTCGACACCACAGGACCAAAGTCAAGATGAAAATCCCTGATGCACAAAACAATATAAAACTACATTTTACACACACTGCAAAATCCTAGCTGCAAGAAAACGTAAAGTTAAACGGCTTAAAGATAACTCTAGAGCAGGGGTGTCAAACTCAATTTAGCTCAGGGGCCACATTGAGGGAAATCTAGTCCCAAGTGGGCCGGACCGGTAAATTAAAAAAAAAAACTTCAGATTGTTTTCTTTGTTTTAATACAATCACTATAAAACAAGGCTGGAGCCTGAGGACAGTGTAGTACAAGTACAACACCTGAAGTGTACTTGAAAATTTGAAAAAAATAAAAATAAAAAAAATCAATAAATTAAAAAAAAATTCCTTAGTGATTCAAAGAGCTTACAGATCACATGGCTAGATCAGTTTCATGCAGCACTAAAAGTATATTTGACTCATTTTACTTTACATCTTTTAGCTTTCACCAGCACATCAATATCAGAAGTCACATCCTGAGTGGCGGCCAACTTCAGGATGTGATTCAAGTTCTTGTGTGGGCCTTGAGCGCAGCTTTGTTTTATTTAAACTCATTACAGAGGAAACTTGCTCACAAAGATAAGTTTATTTTCACTCTACATTGTAAAGTATGAAAATAAAGTTTACACAACCATCTCGCGGGCCGGATTTAACCCACTTGCGGGCCGGAATCCGGCCCGCGGGCCGCATATTTGACACCCCTGCTCTAGAGGTAAAAATGTGTGTGATAATTTTGGGATTAATTAGACCCAACACAGGAAGGCTGGTATAGTTGACTTTACCCTCCCACTGTCTTTATGGGTGACCCCATGAGGAAAGTTGGCCATTGAGCAGGATTGATGGTTTATACCTTGAGGTCCACGAGGCAGGGTGAGGTGGTGCACGTGGACCCAAGGGATAAACCATCAACCCTGCTCACTGGTCAACTTTCCTTGCGGGGTCACACCCATTAGGACAGTGGGAGGGTTGAGGTGAGAAGCATTAAAACCTAGCTTTGAAAAGCTGTTTGTGTACTGCAGACAGTTGATCATAAATCAATAGAAGCATTTATTTTCACTAAGTTGTCACACACACACACACACACACACACACACACACACACACCTGTTCAGCAGGTGTCGTACAGCAGCTCCTGGCAGAGTTTTACATTTCGGAAGTAGACTCTGTCAGCTGCTTCCAGTCGATGTCAGAATGTGAACGTGACTCCTTCTGGCAGCAGCCTCCTCTGACAGTGTCTTTGGCAGCTGTTTGGCAGCTCCGAGATGTTGACAGAAGACATAAAACATCAATGAAAGCTCTCTGCTGGGGGCACTGAAGCAGCCCTTCCCCTCGGAGTTGAGAGATTCCTCAGTCGGTTATGCTTCACTGAATCTGCTGAAGCTTTTTATGTCAGTTAATAATATTATCAGACATACTCTTAGCATGTGAGTATTTTGCCGTTGTTTTTGCGACGTTTATAGACGACTGTGAGGTTTGACGTTACACTACTGAAAAGCCAAGGACAGGAAGAAGTCATCTTTTGTCCTGACCTCGGTTTACTAAAGAAGATTAATAAACCACATGATGGGTGTTGCCCTTTTGAAATTGTTACCAAGATGCCTGAAAGAAGAGAAGAACCCCAGATGGGCTGCAATGTGATGTGTGTGAGCGCTCTCTGGTGGCTAACCATGGTCATTACCCTTATTTCAGGCGCTGGAGAAGCCCAGTCCTCCACAGAAACCTCTTCCTGCTGATCCAAGGAGCTCCCGTTTGGTGCGAAGTCCCTCTTCAGTGCAGGACAACTCTGCAGCTGCCATATGTGGGCCTTCAGTGGTAGCAGGTGTGCCTAGACCTGTGCGACCGGTCCCACACTCCAGCAGGTGAACTGTCCTCATCACTGTGCACGTATGAGTAAAAGGCAAGGCAGCTTTATTCATATAGCACATTTCATACACAGAGGCAATTCAATGTGCTTTCCAGTTAGCAAGAACATTCACAATTAAAATAAACACAAATTAAATTCAGAAGAAAATTTTAAAAAGAAAAAGACGAAGTTAAAGGGTGAGCTGTTACAGAAGGTGCAGTCATTCGAAGGCTGATGAAAACATGAAGGTTTTCAATGTTTGATTTAAAAGTTACTAGAGTTGGGGCACATTTGAGGTCATGAGGAAGATGATGTGTGCAGCATAGTAGCTAAAAGCAGCTTCACCCTGTTTGGTTCTGGCCCGAGGTTCTACCAGCTGACTGCTTCCTAAGACTCTCAGAACCCTGCTGGGCGTATATACAGGAAGGAGGTCCAACATGTATTCTGGCCTCATGCCACTGAGTGATTTATAAACTAGTAGAAGCACTTTGAAATTGACTCTGTAGTTTACTGGTAACCAGTGTAGAGATTTAAGAACAGGAGTGATGTGTTTGGTTCTCTTGGTTCTTGTTAAGACTCTAGCAGTAGTGTTCTGATTAAGCTGCAGTTGCTTCACAATTTTTTTGGGAAGACCAGTAAAAAAAAAAAGCAACAATTAAAGTAAATACTTTTTTAATTATCACATATTTGTGGCCATTCTCTTTGTCTTCAGGCCGAGTCCCAAACAGCCTCCAACGCTACCAAAGCCTTGCATCGTTGCCAACGTTAAATACAGCAGCTGAGACTTCGGCCCAGAGGGACATCGCTGGAATACACACAAAATAATTTGCACTATTGAAACTCTGAGAACCCTAAAAACGATCTCCGAGTTGTGAATCAAGAGATTTGCCGTGTCCCTTTGGCGCTCTGCCTCTGAATGGTGCTACGAGTCTGAGCTCAGGTAGATGTAAAGTATTTATATTCTGTATTTATTACCACTCAGTGCACTGTGCCAGACACTTTTACTACACGGTAGCAACTTTGAATCTTTTTTTACTTCAATTTTTTCAATGTGCACACTTTTTTTTCTTTTCTTTTTAAAAAAGAAAGTTAAAAAAATAAAAACACAGGAAGAAATGAGGAGAAACAGCAGTTAGGGGGAGTGTTCCCGGAGCTTTCGACATGATGTTTGTGTTGCAGCAGTGACCGATGAGATGTGGGGGTTTCTTAAAAGGAAATGCTCTCAGGAGCGTCTTTGAGCCAATCTGGCAAGACTTGAAACAACGACAGGAAAAGAGAAAACGGTGCTACGGCGAGAGCTCTGCAGTGTTTTTTCCTAATCAGAAGATCATCTGCAGGTATCTTTCTTGTTCAGACAGATTAAGCAGAAAGTTGAATAATTTGCAGCATTGGTTTTGTTTTTGAAGGAAACGTGAAGCAAACACAGGTGGAAAATGAAAAAGTCAAGGAAATTAAATGGAAATAAAACTTCAGCGACAGATCACGTGTTTTTTTAAGGACTTCTTGCCTCTGCACAAAAGCCTCTGGATTCAGATCTTTGCTCACATGGTAACCGTTTGGCTATAGCTTTCATCGCCATGGAACAGTTTCACTTGAAAAGGCTGCGATTCTTGTTCTGTGAAGGTAAATGGAGACACCCAACGAGAACAGTTTTTCATGTCATTGTTATTCTTTACTTAGTCAGTATTTTGAAAAGCGATTTACATGCTGGATAAAGAATCGTTAATAAACAAGACAGTGTTTTATTATTCTGGCAGAACAAGGTAGACTTGGCTGCAGCTCATTACATTTAAACGCGTTTGCTCTTTAGACACCTATAAACTTTTTAACTTTTTGATACTGTCTTTTTTATTTGAGGCACATGTGTTTCATGTACTAACAGACAGCATCTGAGTGTAGTCACATGTTCCATCTGTATGTTGTTTGTATGTTGTGTTACAGGTGAACACGCCTTCATGGAGAATGCTCTTTGTTTCTATTACTGACTGTTTGATAGTTTGTATGTAAAAAAAAAAAGAAAATATATATATAAAAATGAAGTGTCATTCCTGATGTTTAAACACATTCAATATTAATAAAACGGATTTTAAATAAAAACAAGTATCTTGATTTATTGTGTGTGTGTGTGTGTGTGTGTGTGTGTGTGTGTGTGTGTGTGTGTGTGTGTGTGTGTGTGTGTGTGTGTGTGTGTGTGTGTGTGTGTGTGTGTGTGTGTGTGTGTGTGTGTGTGTGTTTCAAAAGCTTTTTCACAGCAGGGTTTTGATTGAAAAGCAGCGGCTCTCAGAATATGATAATGTCACGAATCTTAACTTTATTGGGTTTTGATTTATTTTTTGTCAGGCTTAGTACAATTAAAGTGTTGTGTGTTCATGTGACTTACACTAGACTCGTGATTAAAAGCATTTTAAAAAGAGTTCTTCGTTAAATTCCAAAGAGATTCACTCAAAGCATTTCTGAAAGCAAACTCAGCATCGAGAGATCAAATCTGAACACATTTAATAATGAAGCACTAAAGATTTTCTCATATAAAAGGACTTAGTGATACTTTGAGTAAAATAACATAACCATTATTTGTTGATTTTGGGGGTATATAATAAATGAGGTAATTTAATAATAAACATTTTTCCCTTTAAAGGGATACTAGGCAGTTTGGCTTGCTTTTAGCACCCCCTAGTGTCCATTTAGTAAAACCAAAAGTGAAACACCTCTCCTTCCTGTGGGTTTGTGTTTTTAACATCCTTCCCCTACTGCACACTGGAAGCATCAGCGGGGTGGAACGGCAGTGCAACATGTCAGAACCCAAGCCCCCAGACCGGCCTCTCCCAGCTAACCGGCCTCCATCTTGGACCACATTTCCCAGCATGCTCCTCGCGGGAACTCCCGGCATTCTCCCAGTCACACCCAAGCCTATATATGGAAGACGCCGCACCGGCTCTTCACTCAGTCATCGTTTCATTGAAACCCCTGATCAGAGTTCTCTACCGAATAATCCAGACATCAAACATCCTTACCAAGTTCAACTCCCGTACCCAGTCGACCATCGTGACACAACATCACTGCTTCAAATAGAATCCATTATAGTCTGTGGGGTGTCACAAACCAGCCGCAACGCTTATTTACTCCCAGCATCGTTCCAGAAGTGCAGGTGTGTGCTTTTTATGGCTTTATTCCTGGCAGCGGAGAGGTACAACATCATATATGACATCAGACAGCGATAACGTGATTTACTTCTTTTTGAAGTCCCAAGGGATCTTGAGATCTCGTGAGGAGGTTGGCGGAAGTATCGAGGGATTTTTTATCTCGAGGAGCATGGCAGAGAAGCTGCTTCACTGCTGAGACTCTCCCGGTGTGCAGTGGAGTGCTGTGGTTGTCGCAGCTAAACCGTCCCCCACCGCTGATGCTTCCAGTGTGCAGCCAGGGTAAATCTAACAGCTGAAACATCTCCTCAACCTTCATTACTGTCTACAGGAGTGATCCATCACTAAATCAAACATCAGCTGTGTTCATGATCTAAAACATGCAGGAAATGTGCTGGAGGCAGACTGCAGCACCAGATATGTCAGCTCCACTTTTCTAATTCCAACATGGCCTGGACCAGCACTCTGAAGTTGCAAGAGGGATATTCTGGCCATGAGGCAGTGGGGGGTCTGAGTGACATTTCATTACCCCTGTAAAGAGTAATTTTAGCACACAGTGGCTCCAGAAAACAATTTAAACATATGAAAAAATTACAAGTATGGCTTTAAAAGTTTCATAAATGTCAATCAGTTAAAAGGTGAAATATAATTCATCCTGGCATTTATTTTTGGTGTTTGTCTACATTTATTATTAATGTTTCATTTTCTGTTATGTTGAGTTTTACAAGTGGCCCACTTCTCCTTTTTGACATGGATTTACAGATTAAGCAGATTGTCAGGAGGAATCCTTCACATCTTTTTGATAAACTAGTTGTGTGTTTTTTTAAGATTGCTGTGATCTCTAAACAAAAGGCTGGAGAAATAGAAAATAAAAAAGGACAGAAAGCCACGATAATTCAAAAGCAATGTCCGCTTTTATTGAAGTTTTAGTAAATAATAATAATTCCTTTTGTCTGTTTCTAATTATCTCACAGACCATTGTAAGTTCCTTAATGTACCCAAACACGTTCCAGTTTAGGACACTTGTACCAGTGTGACCATACTCGATATTTCACACAAGATCATTTGAATGATATTCTGGAGATTATGACAGCCTCTGGGAAATCCTGGAGCTCTGTTGGCTGATTTGAGGTGATGTTGGGGTAAGACTGCGAGCCGGTCCGTCTCCAGCGAGCCTCAAACTGGACAACAGCCTTTTATCAGCTCACAAAATATTGTTTTGGTTTTAAGGAGGATTATTAATAATCTAGTACACCCAAACAGGCTTTGCTGTGTTCCATTTTAAACCAACTTAATTTGGTGAGGTGGGAAAAGAAACTCTTCTCATGTCTGGATAAACCTCTTCATCATGTTGACTATAAGTAACGCCAGAGATGGCCCAGCTCTCTGACAGAGAAGATTCCTTTGGTTTGGGAGAAGATGGAGTTAAATCAGTTTGATGGATTGCATTTTCTTTTCTTTACTACAAGTTCTTGACGGAGAGGAAGCCCATGTCTGTGTGGAGGGTCAGAGGTTAGATTGAAGATGCTCTGGTTAAACACCAGCTAGTTGTTGTGGTCTTTGATTATTTCAAGAACATTTTCATTCAAATAAAAATCCAATGGCCCGTGTTCAAATTAATGTTGAATAAAGTTTGTTTTGGTGCACATTTCCATGCTTGTTTAGAGAATTTACTAAGATCAGCAGATGCTGCTGTTGTCACCGTCCAGGCTCATGCCTGCACGACTGCATGTCAGTCTACACAAAGGCTCCAGCAGGCCTGTTAGGGACCTCCTGCTGTTACAGTGTTTTTTTTTTTCGATTGCTAAAACGAGTTTTTTCAAAACTGCACACACAAAACCCCAAACATAACACACAAATTCCTAAACCGTGGCTTCCCTTTGCAACAAAACCCTGCCATCACACATCGTAACATGTTCCCAAAATGGAACACGTGTTTTCATTTGGTAAACACAGCCACATTTTCACATGACACACACAAACCATTCATTGCTTAAACACAAGTAGCCTTTGGGTGAACACTACCAAGCATGGAAAGAACACTGAAGAGCAAAACTGAAAACACAGTTGTCGAAAGGGAACACAATGAATTACACACTGAATGTATGACAGTGTCCACTTCTCTCTGAGACAAACATTAGACATCACACAAATTTTGAGACAAAACATTTTATTTTTACTGTTAACTCCCTCCCCCAAGCATAATCATGAGGCATCATGCCGCCGGTCTCTGTCTGGCCAGAGGGCCTCATCAACATCACAGGCGATGTCCTCCTGGTCCAAACAGCTCTGGAAGTACCGCCTCGAGTGCCTCATGAAGCCCTGACAGGCCTCAAAGGCCACATCTCTACAAGCCTCCTCCATGGCTTGAAGCAGTGGGACCTTGCTCTGTGGATTCCTTTCGTACACCTTCCACCTCCAGGCTGAGAAAAACTCCTCAGTGGGATTGAGGAAGGGGGAATAAGGTGGAAGGTATAAAATGGAAAACCGTGGATGGTCCTGAAACCACTCATACACCTGGGCAGCCTTGTGGAAACTTACTTTTATGCTGCAGTCATTGATTGCAAATTGCTCGCCAGACCCGAAAGTTTAGAGATTTGAATATTTGTGTGTTGTTGATTGAAGCTTTGCGAATTTATGTGAGAAGTGTGTGTAAACCTGAAAATTGTGTGTTGTGTTTTGACAGCAAGGTAATGTGAAATTGACATCAGAGTGTAAAGGAGGAAAATCAGAGTTCTAATTTGATAAGAAAATCTTAAGTAGTGATAAATTGAGTCAAGCGATTGGGAACAGAAATGGAGGTTATGAAAATTGTGCCTCATTTTTGCTTTTTGAGTTTTAGCAGTCGAAAAAAACTGTAAGCCCTGATCCACTGGAGCTGCCACGCTGCCAAAGCAATTTTACACTATAATACCACAGGATCACTTGTGTCACTGTTTGTTTTGCTGTGTGCTTTATGCTCTTGGTATAATCCTAAAAGGATTCTCACTCAGAATTCAAATATGATGCAAAATGTGTTGGGTGTTGCACATTAACTGCCTCTTGTTGATTGTGTCCTTTCAGATTGCCCATGGTGTGCAGAGTTCTGCCTGTCAGTTCACTATAAGCATGCTGTGGTGGTGTCCAAAGACTAAATAGCAGCAGGCTGTGAATCTAGTCCTATGAGTGGCTGATGAGATGGATGTGAACATTAGCCATTAAATGGGTTACTCCATCCCTCTGGAGACCTGCTGCTCCCCTGACGCAGTTTAAGGTTTGGTGACAAGATTTTCCTTCATTCTATTTGAGTGTCATAAGCAGAGTCACGCTTTGGTTCAACAACCCACAAACTTCTCTTTGTCAGTCTATTTATTTCCTGTGTCACTTGTTCATCGAGACACCTGACGGGACACAAACTCTTTTAGCCTCAAAGGTCCATGAGAGCAGCAATCAGATCCAAATATTACTTTCCAAGCTCTGAAAGATCAAGATTTGCACCTTTTTTGTTGTTATTTTTATTTAACTAAAATAAAGAATGAAGAATCATTTTTGTTTCAGTTCAAACTGCTACTGTAACTCAGAGGTGGTGAGTAACTGATCATTTTCAGCTTGTAGCAATCTAGATGTTTGTAAATCCACCTAAAATATATCTGATAAAGTGATTTTATGTGAATGTCAATCTTTTACTAGACAGATGACCAATAGAGCGGAGACATTGTTCTTTACACTAGTGACATTTGTTTATGTCACTGGTGACATAAACAAGCTGGAATCTTTACACTAGTGACATAAACAAGCTGGAATCTTTACGCTAGTGACATAAAGAAGTTCAAACCTTTACACTAGTGACACAAAAAAGCTGGAACCTTTACTCTAGTGACACAAACAAGCTGGAATCTTTACACTAGTGACAAAAACAAGCTTGAACTTTTACCCTAGTGACA